TGTTACTTTTCCCCTCTAACAAAGACAATAATTTTATGACTTTTCCTTTTTATTTTTTCCCCTTGATTTCTTAGTGTTTATATATGAACATATATATGTGTTTATATATGAACATATATGAATATATATGTGCTGAGGGAAATTTTACTTTTGCAGAATATATTTCTATAATCAATTTGCAATATGTTGTGATGAGCTTTCCTGGACACATAGATCACATAAAGTTTAAATTTTACATTTCAAGAACAACATAGTAGAGGACAACTAAAGTGAACTATCTTTGAAAGTCAAGGGTGCAGAATGCCTCAGAATTGCCATATTGTATTGCCCAGCTAATCTAATACACTGTCTCTGATGACGGGCCAACTGGAATAATCAGAGACAGATGCAGAATATTCTGAAACAAACAAGAAATTACCTGTCCAAGGGAAAAAAGTATTTCTATCTGCTGTCATATTGTGGTTAATTTATATCTTAGATTTTATGGGCATATAATAATTTTAAATTATTTTATCCTCTACCACATAACTATGAACTTTCTTACATTCTGTATAAAATTCTTATAGGTAACAGTACTCCTCTTGATGCAGTATTATTGTCTGGAAATGAATCACATTAGTCAATTTTTTGTCAAGTAAAATTAAATTATCTTTTTTCAGTTTTAAATGTATTGCCCTTGACTTCCATTGATTGTTCAGGTTCCCAGTTTACCATGTCAGCAATATTATTATGTAATGTGACATAAAAATAACAGCATTTTCCTACTGTATCATCTTAAAATATAGACCCCCCACTCTTGTTTTCTTTTTTTCCTACGCTCTAGTAGAGCTCATGGTGATTACATCTGGTATCAATGTTATGTTCCTACTATGAAAAGGCAGAGAAGAACAATGCCTTAAATAGTCCAAAATAGCTACAAGTCTGTCAAATATAGGTAAGGGATATAATAATATCTAATCCATTTTTCATTATCAAGTGAGGTGGCAGGTAAGTTGTAGAAATTATAAATTAAAGTTTTCTTCATTTTTTTCTGCTCCATTTAAATGTAAATTTGCCTTGTTTTTCCTTAAAATTCAAACTGTGAAGACAGTAGTTTCATATTCAATCAAATAACTTTTATCTGAGACATTCTGAAATTCAAAGGTTATGGACCTTGAGGTAATGTGTCCAAAGAAGGTCTACATTTAGATGAGGGCAGAACATAATTGCTAAGGATTTAAGAATACAATAGATTTTCTGCAGGAGATGGCAACCTAGCTATAATTTATTCTCTTATCTATCCCTCTTCCTTACTGTTTAAATAGCATGGCAACAATGGAATTAGAGTTGATATTTATGGAGTAAAAGTTTCATTTAGTTTCTTTATTTTTCCTATCTTATTTTAGGATGCTACATATAATTCTTGGAACAGAGATAAAACTCGAATACCTACACCTATTTTTTTTTTTTTAACAGACAAATAGAATTCTAAAGAAACACAGTCTGGAAGGGTCTTTTCTAGAAATATAATAGAACTTGTGTTGGTGATTTCCAGGGCAAGAAAGTCAGGATAGTTAGATTTGTATATTTAAGCTAGGTGGAATCTATTTACTACTTGATTATTCTGATGGTAACTACTTATTGCTGAAAAGTAAAAAAAAATGTGGATGTTGTCAAAAGAAGTAACGGCTTTTTTAGGAGACCATGGTATATTTTGATTAGAATGTTAAACACGTAGTTTGAATGAAGGTAAATAATTCTGTTCATACTGTTTCTTAATCCAAAGAAACAAAAAAAGGATCAAAATATTAAGAACAGATTATAACAATAACTGAATTCTCAACAGAATCACAAAGTCATTGTTTGTCACCCAGACACACAGATGAATTTTAGAATACTTAATACAGACATTGATTACAGTGCTCTCCAGAGAGTGAACAGAAAAAAAAATCACTCTATTATTGAAGACACATTTAAAAATCTATTTGACTGCATTTCTTCTTTTATTTTCATTCCTTTCAGAGAAGTTTCTGATAGTGTAAAATTAATATCCTCAATGGCTTAGTCCACTGGAAGACACAGTCAGAATTACGTAGCAGATGTCACCAAATAATAATAATAGCAACAGGCATATAGTTCTGAACTTAAAAGAAGGGTGTATGTAATCACTCGTGAAATATATTTTCTACAAAGTAGTAGATTTTATTTTTAACATAGTCTAGTCATACAAAAATGGAAATAATATTGTCAAGACAGCTATATTTCAGTCAAGACTGAAATCTTCAATACCTATTGCTTTTTCTTTTGTATATAAAACATGCTGTATTCAAAGGCAGAAAGCAATGGGACAATTACTTTTGTTTTAAAATATATGTGATGCTCAACACCTGAGCATACTCTTTCTTTCCCTCTACTATTTTTTTTGTTCTTTTGAACATCAAATGATTCTTTTACACATAAACATGGATTTCCTCAATCTCCACTCTGACTGGTAGGATCACTGGTAATTTTCTGGCATAACATGCTTTCCTACTAAAAAAAATAAATTCTCATGAGTAAAACTAATGTCTTGACAATAGTGATCTCCTAAGCATAATAATTGGTTGTCTAAAAGAAACAATTGAGCTATTAGAGAACTCATTTAGGATTGAAAAACAGCTTCAGAGTCTGTTACTCCTTTTTCTAGTCAAGCATTTAAGTGTCAAATTTCCACATTTCCAAATAGTAGCCTGGTTTTCTAGCAGTTGTTATTCCATGAAAACCTTTGATATCATTGTCTCCCTGTAGAAGTGTTCTATTTTATAAAAAAAATTAAAAAATTAAACCTTGTCTGAATTAAGGTCACAAACCTGTAGTATTTCCTATAGATAATTATCTATTTGAATACCAAATTCAGGAAAATGAAAATTCTGACTCTTTCCCTCTTGAACCTTCTAAAAATATGCAAATTTTTGTGGGGACATTTTTCAGATGTGAAAGGAACACATAAACAAATTCAAACAAATTGCTATACAGTAGGAAAGACTCATACAGACACATACTTTTAACCCATTGCAAAAAAAGAGCTTGCTTGTTCTTTCAGTGAAAGGAAACAATAAACCTCTCATTTTTCTTATTTACAGAGGCACATGGTAATTACTATGGAGTAGCTGAAACAGTGTAAATTGGCACCCTTATTCACTGTGAGTTAATCATTTAGTGTGATTAATCATTTAGTGAAATAAAGACTGGGCAGGTGGCTACAAAAATGGCAACACAGTATTGTATTTCATAAATATTGTCTACATCAGTATATTTCAAAATTGGATACTATTATTAGTGCCAGATTAGATGTTACTAAAACTAAAACACCCAGATCCTTGAATGAGAAATCAAAAGAAACTGCAAAATTGATATGCTGCAAGATATGGTGTTAACTAAAGTAAAAATAAAATTGATGGCTGTTAATTTGGTGCTCTTTGTAATAGGCAGTTTCTCCACCAGCTATCAAAACCATAGGGAATACTAAGGAACCTTGAGAAGGTTCAGACTTCATTCTGAACTGTAAAGAAAACTAGAAAGTACTTATTTATTTAGAGACCACATGCTGTCTGAAAAGAACTGCACTATCTGAGTTGTTTTTGAGTTAAAAGAACACATATGGTTAGAAATATTGCTATAATATAGATCAGGATGACTTTCAGAGACATGGGGCAGAAAGACAACACTCTTGCGAGGAACTCAGTACTATATCATGAGCTTCTGAGTTTAACCTGTTGATGATTACTGTTACCATAGCAACTTCCAAGATCTTTGCACCTAGAAAGACTGTCCTTGGAATCCTCTCATCTCTGAAGGGTAATAAAACAAATATATTGGATTTATCTCAGTTTTATGCATATTTTATTTAGATTTCTACTTATAACTTAGTGATCCCTCTTTGTTAACTGAAATGAATATTTCATGAAAGTCATCTGACAAGTGTCATCCTGCAATGGGCACTCATTTTATGGTGTTACACCCTCGTCCAGAAGCTCCACACTTTTACTGGTTGTACAATTTAGTTTTAGACTTCAAGAGATTTCACCCACATGAACCCATACAAAGTCTTAGATTCTTTGATACCTTGAGTTCACGTCTGGAGAAAAACTACACATTTTTCTCTGAGAGATTTCTTTTAATTTGGTAAGCAAATGTGTGCTTTGGCAAAAAAGGCTTTACAGAGATAACATGCAAACCAAGGAAAAGCATTTCACTATAACAGCCAGTACAAAGAACCCAAGGCACAAAAGTATTGCACTTAATAGCAAGTGACTAGGCAAGCACTAATCCAAACTTAAGTGAAATACAGACAAGAGGTGTTTGCGTTGCCCACAAGGTAAAGGAAAGAGAGATTAAGAGAAGAAAGAATAAAGAGAGAAAGAGAGGAGAGAGACATATTAACCACTCTGGAGGTCACATGTTGACAGGTCAGGAGGGCAGAGGCCAAGGGAAGATAGAGACCATGTGCATGTCCATTTATAGACTCTGGCTATTGTGGCCACTCCCTCTAGGTGGGACTTTTGGTTCATTGCCACTCACTGTCTCCCTAGTCAAAGCAAGGGGTTCCAGAGACAATTAGAGGCTCCAGGGAGTGTGGTGTGGTTGGGTCACCGGGCAGACCTTAATGACAGCCCAGCCACATGGCTTTCCCTGCCATGTGTTCTGTGTGGGTGCAGCCATGTGGGCTACAGGCTTAGGCCTAACCCCTTCCTCTCCCATCGCACCCAGACAATATGATTTATTAGACTGGTGAGATACAAATCCGGTCTCTGACATATGGACCACATATCTGAACTGAATGGCATGGGTATTTGTAGCAGTTTATGTTAGAGGAAGAGTGCTGAAAGGCATTATGGGATTTGTAGTCCCCTGGTACTCTATTGCACATGCTCAATGGAGTGCTCAAATGTGATTGGTTGAGAAGGTCACGTTATGACGTGTGATGGTTTGAAGTGCATATATAAGCCCTTGTTGTTCTTAATAAATTTGATTCTGTTGCTTGCACTGTGAGTGGCTGAGTCTGTGCCTCAATGCTGCAGGTATTCATGACAGATAATCAAATTCAGTGCCTTAAAGTATCCCAATTATCTGCTTTCTAAAATACTGAAAGGGCAAAAGTCTGGATTTGTGGTAAAGTCATACTCTTTTTCTTTATTTATTAACAGATTAGAAACAGTACTCTTATAAAAACTAAAGGCAACTTCCCATCATATTTTTTCTTCTGATTTGCTGAATGGCAATCTTGATATATACTGTCAATGATTATTCATCACAAGTTTTCAAATTACACTTGGATGAGGTATTCACATTTGACACCAGAATTAGGATTTCCAAAGATTTCTTCTTTAAAAGTAAAAATACTAAAATCCTGATTTATCAATTTACTTATGTCTTCATTTCAATAGTTAAAACAATCTGCAAATGCAGGCACATAACTCACCATGAGTTCAGAGCCCTTTGTTTTAAAAATCTTCAGGAAGTATGTTTCTAGATCTATCAACTAATGTTGTCTCTTAGCCTATAAACTTCCAGTATAAATCCTATTGCAGAAGTCAGAAGACCACATTTTAATGTTAATATAATGCTTTAAAAAGCCCCAACAGAACATGAAGAGAAAGTCAAAACCACAATACAGGAATCAAAGACATATCAGTCACTGAGACCAGTAGACTCCCATGACCCTATTATAGCATGTTTATTGAAACTGGTATTTGTTTTAACCTGTTTCAAACTAGCCTTCACAGAACAAAGAGACCTTTATTATTGTGCTTGACTGCATTTAAAGAGATAGAACAGAGATGTTCTGAGAGGAAAAAGGAGGTTAGTTAAACCAGTTGAGCCTCCAAGGGGGAACCTGTATGGACAACGCAGCTGAGACTTGTATTGTTTTCTCTTTCTAGAACAATACTGGGAATGATGCCAGCACACCTGCACTAGAAATCAAGTTTGTCATGAAAGGACTGCTTATCCTTCTTGTAAAAGTAATCATGGCCAGTATGAACATAAGGTACATAGGCTTGAAACCCCACTTCTTCCACAGGGTGGAAACCCTCACTTCTTTTATTTGTGCTATTCAATAATGTAACTATAGACAGTTCTGCACTGTATATACTTCTCAGTTGGGGATGAAATTACTGTGGCAGCAATTATAAGGTAAGGAGATGAGGGCACTCAACTTACTATGTGTCTCTTCTAATTGTTTTCCTGTTGTTCTAACAATCCATTAAATCTTCATGCCAATTGCTGAGTTCTATTTCCATTTCACATTAAAAACTCTTCACCTGCATAGGTGCTAGTTTTGCTGAACATTATCCTTAGATGAGTTCCTATTAGAAATAAGGGATCGATTTGTTTACAGTAATAGGACTTCTTACTGAATTTCTCAATGCCATGTACTCTCAGCACAGAAAAGCTAAGTAGTACCAGAGAATAATCCTGGGAAGCTGAGCTGTGTCAGGTTTGTTGCTAAATTAGTAGTGTTTGGAATGCTTTTGTCTAGCTTTGGTCACTAATCCACCAGTTTATGAGTTTTGCTTGTCTGTTAGCGTGGGGCTATTTTGATTAAGTGGTTTCAATGCATCTGTTCCATTTTAGATGAGAACAGAGTTTAATAGCATGATTTTTGCTGTGCTGGTTGGCTTCAGTGCAGGTTGGCTTCAGTGTAAGAATATGATTGAGTTCATTTGATTAAGTAGCAAAGACATACACTGTGCATCTATGAAAGGAGTGAGTCAAAGCTGTCTATTCTCCTTGACGCTTCTCCCTGTGTCCATACTACCGAATGCATATTTTTCATTAAGTATTTTAGAAGGTAGTCTGAGTTCAGGCTGCTTACAAATTATGGGAAGATATGCTGTCACGTCTAAAAGAGACTTTTCATAACAAGGCACTAGTCTTCTTGACAATATCCAGGCAACTGTTTTTTTTAAACAATACAATGTGGAAGAAAGGTAAATGTTGTAAGTGTTATTGCATTTAATAACTATTGATGGCTAGACAACATTTATGGTACTAAGATATTCATCTAGATTTTTTGCCCAAGAGGGGAATACAATACACATTGGTATGTGCGTAGGTTTCCCATAAAACTCTTGTAATAGCAACTCTAGAAGCATGATGCCGAGGAAGAATTGCCTTGGCTAATCAAATAAAATGCAATGGAATTAAATGTAGGTAGATTTAAAATACCATCCCTCTGCAAAACCTTAATGTCTAACTCCAGGTTGCTTTACTTGACTCAGATTTTGGTCCTGATCTTCTGATTTTGAGTTCTCTAGTAGCCTTTCTTCACAGTACATAGCTGTTGAAAAGGAAGGATCCTCTGTTTTTTTTCCACATATATTTTTATCCAGTAGATCACTCATTTGATACTTTTTCTGGATGTGGATATTTTAAAGCTATTTTTTTGACATTGCACACTATGTTTGAAGCAAGAGTGAGCCTCCTTTTCCATGAAACCCAACCCTGTGCTTGTCATATAATTTATTAATTTCAGGTAGACATACATTTATATTCAATCAGAAAGTTTATGCTAAAGGCCATTTATTGTATTTCCTTCTGCTCTCAACTGTGCTTTCAAATTTCTACCAAATAATTTTCTATTGAGTTTTCCTATTATATCATATTTTCAGTGCTCCAATATTGCCATCCATATGCATGTTTATTTTACTCGAAGTGTAGTCTCACCTAGGAAGACCTAAATTTTTTTGTCATCCCAGCCAAAGCTATGAAAACAAAACATAAGGAATCTCTTCTCATTTTGTGGGAAAAAAAATTATTTTCTACTAGAAATCCCTTGTTCTTGTAACATCCAAGGCTTTAATCTTCATGACAAAACTAGTGCAAATTTTTAATTTGCTAGACTGGAGGAAAAAATTTAAATCTTCAAAGGCAACAGGTTGGGTGTTTTGTTTGTTTTTTAACATACATAATATATTTTTTGAGTGCAGTTATCTGAAGCCCTGTTTAACTTTTTTCTTCCTTGTAAATTCTCATCCAAGTAAATAAACATAAAAACGCAAATAATGAAATTTTTACATAATACTGAATCATTAAACCTCCATTTTAGTCACACAGAATTAAGGAAAATGAGGTATAATATATATAATCTCCTATGGAAAGAACTTGATGTGATGAGAGGTGTATGAATGTTGTTAATATTGATCTATTCTTTTCAAGTAGTTGCTAAGAAAATACGAACATTCCAACACAGATTAATTCTTTTTTATTATAAACACAGTAGCTGAATTCACTGCCAGACTACAACAGGACAAAAAATTTCCATGAATTTGTGGCCGACAAAGGGTGATTGCAGCTAGCAGCTACTCATATACTGAAAGTGAGATAATTGACCCTAACTGTGCTGAATTACTGTGAATAAGCACCTGGGCAAAGCTGCCAGCTGGATAGAAAAAGCAGTCCTGTGCAAATACTAGTGCTGAACTGAAACTTGTGTAAAGTATGTAAGGTTGCTTTTATCTTTAAAGTGGATTGTTTAATAGAGATCAGGGCATAAGAATAAATGCTGAGAATATATTGATTTTCAGTTCTAACTTTTCATGTGGTTTTGCCATGGTGAATATTCTTTATGTCCTTCCCTGGTGTTATGGAAGAATAGTCTTTTTCTTTACAATATGGTACAAAATTACTTTTATGTTCTTCTTTGTACTGTTAACTTAAGGACCTTGTATTTCTTCACAGATTGCTGTTACCTCAATTTTTGCCATCTGATGTTGAAATCCAGAAGCATATTTGGGAAAAACTGAAGTATGGCTTTTTATTACTGTGAAATTTGTAGTGGCGTCTAGTACCAAAAGAAGTTTACATCTTTTATGGATAAAAATGTTTAGAATATTAACCCATAATATACATTACAGTAATAGCACTCATACACTGCAATTTATTGAAACAATGTTATGTTCCAGCAGAAATATAGCTTAGGTTGATCAGATATACTGAGGAAAGTCAGTGATTGTGGCATATATCCAAAGTACTGTATGTAAAAAAGTGATTATTTTTGTTTATCAGAATGTATGTAATTTGATATATATTTTGTCAACTAATTTGATGTTGATAGTTGGTGGATTTCAATAAGAATAAAATTAGCAGCCAGTGGTGAAACCCAGCAATATATCCAGTTGGAGGCCTGTCACTAGTGTTGTCCCCCAAAGTTCAATACCAGGCCCAGTGTTGTTTAATTTATCAATGACTTGGATGAAGGGGTAGCTGCCTCCTCAACAAGTTTGCTGATGACACAAAGCTGGGGGGAGTGGCTGATACCCCAGAGTGCTGTGCAGCCCTTCAGAAGGGCCTCGACAGATTGGAGAGATGGGCAGAGAAGAACCACCTGATATTCAACAAAGGCAAATGCAGCGTCCTCCACCTGGGGAATAATAATCCCATACACCAGTACAGTCTAGGGGCCAACTTGTTGGAAAGCAGCTCTGTGGAGAAGGATCAGTGGGTCCTGGTGGACGACAAGCTGTCCATGATCCAGCAGTGTGTCCTTGTGGCCAAGAAGGCCAATGGTATCCTGGGGTGCATTAGGAACAGCATTGTCAGCTGTTGTAGACGACGGGATAAAGACACTTTTTTTCTGTAAAAATTCAGAAAATAAACTATATGCTGCTTGCCTTTCCATACCTACGTCAGCATTTGCACAAATATAACTTAGGTAATTAGAAGCCAATGATGAGCTTAGCTTTTGTAATATGTATGAAGCTAATTAGTAACCTTTATAAGCACAAAGCATGCAGCAATAAAGTTGGATAAGTTATTGATCAATTTTGTGGTCTAAAAGTGTCTTTATCCCGTCGTCTACAACAGTCAGCAGGTCGAGGGAGGTGATCCTGCATCTCTCCTCAGCCCTAATGAGACAAATCTGGAGCGCTGTGCCCAGTTCTGGGCTCCTTAGTATAAGAGATCCTAGAGCAGGTCCAGTGGAGGGTAATAAAGATGATTAAGGGACTGGAGCATCTCTCTTATAAGGACAAGCTGAGGGAGCTGGGCCTGTTCAGCCTCAAGAAGAGGCATCTGAGAGCAGACTTCATCAATATCTGTAAGTATTTGAAGAAAGGATGTTAAGAGGATGGAGCCAGACTCTTCTTGGTGCTTGCAATTTCAGTTTTTATTTGGTATCCGGATTTATTTTTATATGTGCTGAACAAAAGATTTCTTTTTTATGTCACCTGTTTTCCTCTCTATTCAGGACACTGAAAAAAACCCTACCAGGTAATGCAGAGTATATGTATAAATAAATCACAGGTTGATCTGCATTTATGTAGAGATAGCACTTAAAAATTTTCACAGTCTCAGCAGTAATCACATGAAAATTTGTCAGGCAGAAGAAGGGACATGAATATTTGAAAATTAGTATATGATTATCACACAAATATGTGTGACTTAACCAGAACCATTATCAAGTATGACTACCAATATGTGGTATTGCCTTTATGCCTGTCTGCTTGCATATAAAAATGATTTCTGACTTCTAGATTTTGAATGTATTATTTTGCTTTTCCAGTCTTCCATTTAATTCTTATGAATACTGTCCATCTAGAGTGTCCTTCAGCAGCAAGTTTGAGAGATCTATTATCTATTGCATGAGTAATTTTTTTTCAAGCCAAGTTTTTGAAACCTAACTCCAACTATTTGCATTTGTCATCCCTGACTATTTATGGGTGAAAATTAGGGAACACTGATCTCTGTTCACTTTCTCTGGTCTCCTTTTGATTTTGTATCTCTGTCATACTTCCCTCTCAGTAGTCACTATGCTGAACAGACTTGGGCTACGTATCTGGTTTACTGTGCAAAAGGTGTTCTATAGTTCTGAACACTGTTTTTCTCTGAGATTTTTCTCTTCCTACTCTCTCTTTTTTGAGATGGGTAGAACAGGATTTCCATGTATTCAAATTAAGACTCTATGGACTGAATTAATTATTTCTCTTTTGTTCTTTGTTTCTTTCCTGATATTCCCAGTATTTGATGAGTTTTTTCACTGTCACTGAGAACTGAGACAACCTGTCTAATGTTGACTTGGAGACTTTGTTCCTGAGCAGTAAATCAGCTCTGACACCATAATTTTATATGTGAAAATAAGATTTTTCTTCCCTGTGTTTATTTTTTTACTTATGTTTATTTTATTTCACATATACTTGGATCCCTCGGTCCCTTAAATTTATGTAGTGTTTCTGCACACCTTCACAATCTGTCCTTATCCTTACCGTTATTAATAATTTGAGATCAACTTTCTGCTCATTCCCTTTTCAGGGTCATTTGTGAATATGCTAAACAACATAGACCCCACCACAAATCTCCAATGTATTCCACTGGTGATCTTCCTTTAGTAGAAGACATGACCATTTACTCCTGCTTTTGATATCCAAAATTTTCATCAACCAGTAAATCCTCCGTGTGTTATTTGACTTTTCTGTGGTGTGTTTAAGGCTGAACTGAGAAAAGATAGAGAACAAAAAAGTATAGGCATATGGCACACATCTACAAAAAACCCCCAACACCCTCCATTCTCCAACAAGAAAACAAAATTATTAAGAGCAACCAAAAACCCTTCAACAATATCTGTGAGCACACGCAACTCACTTAAAATCCATGGAGCTCCATACACAAATGGCAGAAAATTCAACCACTTGGTATGAAAATAAAAAGTTTGCAGAAGATATTAATATGGGTGGTTTTTTCCTTTTTTTACAGGTTAGGATAATTTTCAACTATGGAGAACTTCTTCAGATCAATTTTAGGACAACAGTTAAAGAAATTCTTCCTCCCAGAGTTCACTGTGGAGAATGGAAGATAAAAAATAAAGACAAAAATGGAGGTGGAAATATTTGTATATACAATATTAAGCTTAAGCAAATGCAGTGAAAATTCTTCATTCTGGTCCTTTGGAAATAATTAATTCTTTCTTGGTGACCAGAAATAACTTGCAAGAAGGCATTAACTTACCAGGCCAAGAATTCAGAAGTCAAAGAAGAAAGCTTAAAATTGTCCCTCTAGTTGAAGTCACAGGGATGTTCATACTAAAAAAAAAAAAACAACTGTTTCTACTTTTTCATCCATGGCAGCTATTTTTATAGGACTGTTTTGCTGGGAAAAAAAGTTTAAAACCCTCCTAAATTCCAGGGTATTTTTAGTTTTTGAGCTTGGTCGGACCTTCAAATATACATAAACTGGCTGCAATAAGAATTTTTCTAACTGATTACTTCTTGCTGTTATTTCATTCTTTATATATTTAGCTCCTAAGACATTTATATTCAAACATCATCTGGTGCCATGGGCATGGAGGGTAGATCTAAATGCCCTCTACTACTACTAAGGTTGAATCCTAAGTGCTATAAGTGGTTTTAGCAGCTGTCAGTGATATCATACAAAGTATCAAAGACATGGAAGATGACAGACATGAGGTTCTTCATAAAATCATCTCCAAATGAATATATAAATCTTTACACATATAACTTTCTGTTGCTAGCAAGCTCATATGTATGACCTGTAAGTGTTTTGCTTTGTCCACAAACAGATTCAGTTGGAGACAGGGAAGTTAGCATGAAGGAAATTGGTGGTGTTCTGCACAAATATTTTAAATGCTCTTCCTTTATGCAGGTTTCAGAAGAGCTGGGTAGGGATGTCAGACAGAGATTTTATGTCTTGTGGCCTGACTAATAATTGAAAAAAAAAAAGGAACCTTGTTTTCAAAGCTGGTGCTTCATGTTTCCATGGTAACCAGAGCATTCACTGATATCAAGGTTTCTATTTTGTTATCTTTTAAAACTCATTTTTATTGTTAGTATATTTCCCATGTTTTGACTTAAAAGTGATAAGTTGTAATATTTACTAAATTATATGATGGATGTCTCAAGGGACCATGCTATAAAGAATATTTGTTTAATTTCATGGGCATTGTTTAGGCACATAACAAGGAGCAGGGGGGGGAAAAAAAGAAAGGTTTGATTTCTGAAAAAAACACAGCTCTACAATAATTGCAATCTAGTTAGACCATTCACACTGGGAGTCCTATGTTTGCAGTGTCTCAGAGTTAAAGCATTTGATCAAAAGGCCAAACACATTATCATGCTATTACTGATAGCAGGGTCATGGGGAAAAATAAAGCTCCCGATCTTCATTATGTGCAAAGAATCTGCCATTGTTGCCTTCCGTTGTTAGTATGAACGCAAAACTGTCACCACTTAGGAATGTAGTACAAATTTTATTTTTCAGTCTGTTCTTTCTTATTTTAAGATGTCTAATATTTAATCTTGAAGTTATGAGTTACTAAAGAAATGCCTTTTTTATCCTTACCTTTTCAACTACTGAAATTTGAGAAAAATGCTGATGAATTTTTTTTTAATACTCCGGCTTTTTTAGAAGATACATTGACATCAATCACATAAGGGGGATTGTGTGACAGAAGGCTACTATGACTTTCAGGACTAATTCAGAGACAATGGCAATAAATCTCTGAAGAGACAGGGGCTTCCTTTGTTCTGAAATTACTACACCAGTTCCTATAAAGCATAACTCCCATCTTTGATATCTCCTGATCTTCCTTTCTCTGTATAATACCTTTTATGAATGCTTTACTCAGGTGTAAAGCACCTTTTCCTCATTCTGCAGGGAGTCAAGATGTTAAAAGGCATTTTGACACCCTATGACATTGGGCATTCCAGTTGGATATTGTATTGGTAAATTTCAATTAATTTTTGACTCTAGATTAGAGTTTCTTTATATATTTACTACTGGCTTATTCAGCAACAGAAAAAAAAAAAAATCAGAAACATGAAGAAAGTATTTATTAGAAAAATATAAATCCCCTTGATATACAGTAGACTTAGGGATAACCAGGCTTTCATTGTATTTTTTTTCTTGGTGATAGGTTGTTACTATGTCACACACACTAAAACCCACTTTATTCCTCTTCCACATTGTCTTCAAATACAACTTCTTTCCAAGGAGGACAGACATGGGTGGTTACTACGTGTGAACTGTGCAGTCAATCAAGTCAGTCATGTTCCTTTTCTACACAGAATATATGCTATGATAGCTGCTGTTCCTATTTACACTGAAGGAACCAGTGTTTATGTGTTTTCACTCATGCTTCCTTTTTGAGAAACATTTTTTTTAAAATGGCTGTGTCAGTGTTTACACTAAAAAAACCTGAAACTAATATACATGAACTCACAATGACCATGTGTCTCAGTTTAAAGAGACTGGAGTGTTTTGCTATGGAGCTGTGAGGTAGACCAAATTTCTCTCTCTCAGCAATTTTAAGTCCGAAATTAAGAGGTTCTAATTGAGGAAGTATGGAAAAAGGAAGAAATAACAACCCTTTATTAAAGTCTATATGTATATTGGCAAAAACAGTAACAGAACACAAAAACAACTAAGCAATAATCCTGTACCCAAAAGTTCCCCTCAAAAAGGAAACAGTCTGATATTCTCTGTCCTCTAGCGCGGTTCTAATCACGGTTGGCGGGAGCACTGTTGGATCACTGGAAGTGCAGAGCCTGCAGTTCCTCAGTGTTGGTTGAGAGGGGGAGCTGTTGGGCTCCGGTTGTCGCTGCGTGGGGGCCCTGGATCACGGGAGAAGCCAGAAAATGGAGATTTTTCGCCCCACACCGAGGAGGGGAAGGGGAACAGGGGAACAGGGGAAAGAAGGGCGGTTTCCTTCCCACTAAACTCACATTGACTGTGGCTCGCTGTGATCAGGACTCCCCCTTTTTCGTGAATGAGCACAAACTCTCCGATGAATTCTGAGCAGATTCGGGCTGGGAACAGGGCAGCACACAGGCAAGCTGAGGCTGGAAAACAGCCAGATGACCAGGTCGAGAGCAAAACAGCCTCCGAGCTTTTCCAACACACCTTGCCCCCGTTAAAGCAAAAAGTGAAGTGTCCCCAGTTTGCAAGGAGAGGAGGAGAAAAAACTCCTCTCCCCTCCCTGCAGTTTTGGATGGGCCATTAGTCTGGAATGCAGGTTGGCCAGCTAGTTCTTTTGTATAGTTAATTACCCCTTCCCCCTCCTCATTCAACCTTCTTCTCTTACAGTGGGGCAGGAGAAAGGAAAATTTCTGCTTGGATTTTTAGAACAAGTAAACCTATGAAATCATGTCAGAGTACAAAGCATTATTATTATGATTTATTACTGTTATTGTTATTATTGCTATTATTGTCCTTATTATTATTTTCTAATAATAGGCCAGATGTTATCATCAGGTCATGTCTGTTACAATATTGTGATTGCTGAGGAGATCTTCAACTTAGAATCATGCGATTTGCTTGAAATTGGGCTGGCAGATTTTTATATTTGTCTTATCAGGTCCTAGTTCAGGAAAGTTGCTGCAGCCACACAACACTCTCTTCTTATGCATATGTACTTAATGATGTATGTAACAACATATGTATTAATATATTCATGGGGTAGTTGTAAAGCTTTTTTGATGTTTAATAAATGAAAACAATCTTGCTTCTAAAATTCAGAGATGAGACCTATCTAACAGTCAATCAGAAAGGCAAATTGTTAAAAAAATTTATTGAAAATAAGAAAATTTAAAATGGCTACAAATGTGATATCATGTAGAAACAGGGACCTTGCATTTCCACTTGGGTTTATTTTCCAGTTTTTCTGTCCAAACTCTTGCAGAGAATTTATCATTAAAATAATAGAAAACCAGACAGATTGGCATCTTTTTCTGTATCAGTTACCAGCTTCTTTTTGAAATAATCATTAGTTTAACTTTTCCTGTATCAGCCTGCACAGTGTTTCATAGTCTGGAAGTCGTATGGTCTGTATCAATTTTAAGCAGTACAAGGCTTCAAACCTTTCCTTTGGGGAAAATTGATAATAATAAAATTGAGTGACTTTCTTGACGCGCTATAATAATGCATTATCTGTTGGCTTCTGAATTTTAAATGCTTTAATCACATTTAAGCTTTTTTACTGGTTTTGTTCCTTCAACATCAGGTGTTTTATAAATATATTGTCTTATTTTGCTATACAAGACTTTTACAAACTGTAAATTTCAGCATTAACTGCAGAGTGAGGAAGACTGCTAATGTTCTGATAGCAATATAGTCATAGAAGAGAGCTCTTCTTGAGATCTAGTCATTGCCTTTTAAATATACTCCTTAAAGAAAAAACCCAAATTTATGATTGAAAGAAAAGAGGCAAAAGAGTAGAAGAAGGAGAAATATAGGAGATGAACAGCATAATGACAGGGTAGGTGATGAAAGAGAAAGGAATAGCTAAACTGAACACATGAATGAATACAAACCCTGGGGTAAGGTCAGAAATAGAAAGCAAAACAAATAAAAAACTCTAGACTGCTACCTTGAAATTTTGAACGTTTTTTCACAGCAGATTTTGCCTTCCATTTGGTATGCATATTTTGAAAGCATTACTACAATTATATGTGATATACCATAGGATGAAAATCTAAATTTATTCATTGTATGCAGCATTCTCTGTTGGATTCAAAGGATGATTAATCAACCTTGTAGAAGTTATCAGAATAAGGAGCAGTGAATAGGGTGAAAAAACAGTGAAGTGACCTTGAATAGCTTTTAGTATTTTAAGTGAAAAATCAGATAATTAAGAAAGGTTTCACTCCTCATAAACTTTCATTAAGAGCTAGTGGCCTTAATGGTTATTGGACTGAAATGTAAAGCAATCATAGTAATCTCTGGTGACTGTGGTAAAGAAGGTTAGGATGGGCTAAATTTTGCTTTCTTAAAAAGTGAGTAATGTAACATAGGAGAATTGAAGGAGGAATTACATTTCAAGGTTCTTACTAAAGGCATAGAGGACAGTTCTGCATTCACAAATGACTGAACTAAATAGGACATAAACAGGTCTTAGAATGCTAGGTTCAAAAGATATTCAGCTTCAGGAGGATGAAGGCAAATAGTTTTTTTAATTTCAGCCAAATAATTGAACACAGTTGTTAATTTATATTAAAAAAAAAAACAAACCAAAACAAACCATCGACCAAACCCAGAAAACTGAATTGATCTA